TATATAAACAAAGATATCGGTGTGTTGCACCATCTCCATGCACATCATGTATCACAAGTTAACTGGAGTTTGGACCATGTTCCCCGATGATGACCAACATGGTCCACTTTCGATGTCTGGATTTTGCCTACATTGATACCTCTGTCAATAGTCTCAACCCCATACCCTCCATTTCTACTTGTAGAAATCTATGAACTCTTCTTCAGCCTTTTTCCATGAAGATTTCCCCCCAGATTCCATTCCCTGTTATAATCTTGCATAATTTCTTCCTCCTGGGAATCTTTACAATATTTGAAGATTTTCTCTCACAGCATGGGACACAGTCCCCTGTTCATTAGCTGCATTGCTTACGTATTAAGCACGCAGACTGTTGTGTGCCTCTGGCAGTGTCCTCAGACTCTAGCTTAGTTCTTTGCACACAATATAGCAAATCAATGTGTTGATTTTAATTTCTTTTATAAGTTTCCATTACTTATTTTTAAAGTATATTTGCCCTCATTTTGTCTACATGGCTGGGAATATGAGCCATGAATTCAGTGTTTAAACCCTGTATGCTGTGCCTCTTCCTATCTCTTGAGGCTCGTCTTAAAGCAGCCTGTTCTCTGCTTCAGCCACAGTGACCTGCCAGCCCCCCAAAACTGTGTTCTCCTTCTGCATCAGGGCCTTTTTGCATGCTATTCCAAGTGTATGAAATGACTTACCTCTCCTTTCACTTTTTAATTTTTACTCATTTTTCATACTTCATCTCAATTGTTTCTTCTCCAGAGAAGCCCCCTCTTACCTCCTTCATTATATCCAATTTCCCTCTTGTCTGCCATGATAGTACCATAGACTTTTCCTTGGCAGTGTTTATCATAGTGACAATTTTGTATTCTTTTTATGATTATTTGATTAATATTAATCTTCCCATTAAGGCTTATGTTTCATGAAGGAATGGGGATATTTGTTTCCCTACAGCATTGTATCTCTAGCACCTAATACAGTACTGGGTAGGTAGTAAATTTCCAATGAATATTTGTTGGATGACTGGCTGAATGGATTAGGTGTTATTCTGTCCCCTGCAAAATTAAATCCAAGGTGTGGTCCTAGCTTGCTTTCATCTTCCATGATCAGCAAGGAAATATATACGAGCAGGGCATAAATTAAACTTTATCTGCTTTTGCCAAGTAGTCCGGGAAAATTTCCAGGGTGTCAAGACACCAGTCGCAGGTTCCAGGAATCAGTGACATTCTGCAGCTGTTTTTAGTGACCTGCTATTGCTGACTCTTGCCCTTTGAAAATTATATTGTCCCCAAGCAAATGCCAGAGTGCTGTCTGTGATAGTTGGACTCCAGCTGCAGCCCACTCTAAATATACTCAGGTGCCATTTAACTTTAAATTTCTATCTAAAAATAATCAGGTTGTTGAACCACAGAAGAATAATATGCAGTTTAAATTCAGGTTCCAAGATGCACATTGACGTTTAAGAATAGCCATCTTGTGTCTGGTTGCTGATACTAAAGAACCTGTCTTGCTGTGAGGAACAAATTACAGACAACCCTGTAACATCACACATCAAATCTGATGCTAAGAGCAGCATATACAGGGTCCCGCAGAAGTAACACCTGCTTGAGAGTGGTTGGTAGGGTAATAAAATGGGTGTTGTAATTTATAGTTTTAATTTGAACATTTCACCTAAAATGTCATATGGTGTGCTTGAATGTGATATTGTGATGTTACAGAATTACATGCTTATGATATTGTAATAAAAGATTTTGTAATAAAAAGGAGGTGTTACTTGTGCCAGACCATATATATGTGTGTGTGTATAATTACACTCTATATTTTAAATATACTTATGTTTTAAGTACACTTTATATTTTATTTCATTTTTTAAAAAATATATTTTACTGATTATGCTATTATAGTTGTCCCATTTTTTCCCTTTTATTCCCCTCTTTCCTGCACCTCCCTCCCACCAGCATTACCCACCTTAGTTCATGTCCATGGGTCATACATATACGTTCTTTGGCTTCTGCATTCCTCATACTATCCTTGACCTCCCTCTGTCTATTTTGTACCTACCATTTATACTTCTTATTCACTGTCTTTTCCCCCATCACCGCTGCTCCCTGCTGATAACCCTATATCTGATCTCCATTTCCGAGAATCTGTTCCTGTTCTAGTTGTTTACTAAGTTCATTTTTGTTTTCATGTTTTTAGGTTCAGTTGTTGATAGTTGTGAGTTTGTTGTCATTTTACTGTTTGTATTTTTTATCTTCTTTTTCTTAGATAAGTCCCTTTAACATTTCATATAATAAGGGCTTAGTGATGATGAACTCCTTTAATTGACCTTATCTGGGAAACACTTTATCTGCCCTTCCATTCTAAATGATAGCTTTTCTGGATAGAGTAATCTTGAATGTAGGTTCTTGCCTTTCGTGACTTGGAATACGTCTTTCCAGACCCTTCTTGCCTGTAAGATTTCTTTTTGAGAAATCAGCTGAAAGTCTTATGGGAACTCCTTTGTAGGTAACTGTCTCCTTTTCTCTTGCTGCTTTTAAGATTCTCTCCTTATCTTTTATCTTGGCTAATGTAATTATGATATACCTTGGTGTGTGCTTCCTTGAGTCCAACTTCTTTTGGACTCTCTGAGCTTCCTGGACTTCCTGGAAGTCAATTTCCTTGGCCAAATTGGGGAAGTTCTCCATTATGTTTTTAAATAAGTTTTCAATTTCTTGCTCTTATTCTTCTCCTTTTGGCACCTCTATGATTCAGATGTTGGAATATTTAAGTTGTCATGGAGGTTCCTAAGCCTCTCCTCATTTTTTTGAATTCTGTTTCTTCATTCTGTTCTGGTTGAATGTTTATTTCTTCCTTCTGGTCCAAACTGGTTTCCTTCCCTTCACTGTTGGTTCCCTGTGCATTTTTCCTTTATTTCACATTTCATAGCCTTTACTTTTTCTTCTATTTTGTGCCTATACTCAACCATTTCTGTGAGCATCCTGAGAACCAGTGTTTTGAATTATGTACCTAATAGGTTGGCTATCTCTTCATCCCTTAGTTGTATTTTTTTCTGGAGCTTTGATCTGGTCTTTCATTTGGGCCATATTTTTTTTTTTTTGTCTTGGCACACCTGGTGTAGTAAGGGGCAGAGACTTAGCTATTCACCAGAGTGGGGTAACCCTCTTTGCTGCCTTGTGGTGCCGTATGTGGGGGAGGGGTCCAAGAGGGAACAATGCCACTTGCTCAGCTCTTGGCCAGCTTTCAGTCACTTCCCCCACTACCCACAAGCAAATGGGGCTCTTCTGGTGCGGATTCCTAGGTGGGTGGTTTTGTGTATGTTCTAGGACCCTGTGAGTCTCTCCAACGAACTCTTCTGGGAGGCTGGGAGTTTCTCCCACTACCTCAACTCCCACAGGATTTTTCCTGAGTCAGAGATTTTGAGGCTTTATTTCTCCATGCTGGAGTTCTGGGTTTTGCGGTTTGTCTCACTTCCCAGTTGTTCCTCCCTTGTCCTTGCCATGAGTCTTCTCCACCTGCTGCCCGTGTCTGTCCCTCCTACTGGTATGGATGAATATTTCTTCTTTAACTCCTTTGTTGTTGGACTTCCATACAATTCAATTTTCTGGCAGTTCTGGTTATTTTTTGTTTTCAAATTTGTTATTGTCCTTCTTTTGGTTGTTTGAGGAGGTGTATCCATTTTGGCTGGAAGTACACTCTATATTTTAAATACACTCTATATTCTAAAAGCTTCTATTATGTTTAACAACACTAGACTTTATTGACACTTATTAGTCTTAATACTATGGCAATAGATTATGGTATAGAGAATTTTAAAAAGTAGATATCTTTTGACCACTTCAATAAAGGAAGTTCTCTTAACTCTACCCTCAACCCCAATCTCTTTTTGAAAATTTTCAAAATAATCCATGAGGTTGTGTTTGAATGCAGGTAAAACACTTTGACTTCAGAATACCATGTTTATATGTTCTTATTATATTGTAAATACTCTTATAGTATTTACAGCTTTTGTGAGAACATGGTCTATGAACAGATGTCAGCAGTTAACAGGGTATGTACAATGGCAACACATCTATGTTGTAACTGGGCCTAGGGCCCCATCAGCAGCACTGTCTGTTGTCTCTCCACATGCCCGTTTGCAAGTGCTGCTCAGGGCCACTCAGCTGAACTACAGAGAATTGTCTTCTCCTATATTTCAAGGTGGACTAAATGTTACTTGTCTTGATCTAAACATATCTCTTTACTTTTTAGACCCTGTGAGTGAAGGAACAAATACATACTTGCTTTAAACCAGAGGAAATGATCAGAGCAAATGGTCTGGATATTACGACTGTGAGTACTGGTTTAGTCATTGGCTTAATCAGGAAAAGAAATTATTGCAGAAAATGCTCACATGCAGTCCTGGATTTTCTAAATTAACAAAGACTCTCATTTCTGTTTTCAGAGAGTCCTGCTGGGAATCATTCCTGGTTGATGTGACATTTTTGCTGGGTTGGTAGTAGATAGGCAAAAAAATGGGGGGGAAGGTGCCCATCAGTACTAGAGTGGACCAGGAAACAAGAATACCAGCAGAACACCTGTGTGGGAGATATAGCTACTTTTGGGAAGAAGCTGATCCTTATAGATTGGGTGATAAAATCTGATGAGTCAGAAATTATATTATCATGTATTTTGTAAAAACATTTTAGCACTGTGTTAGTGTCCTGGTGCTAGGAATGTTATTTACAGAGGAACCATTTATATTTCATTTTATTTTGCTTGATTGCTTCCATTGCATTGTGGTAAAAATTATGCAGAATTTTTGAAAAAGATGAAATTTTAATAACAAACTTTAGAAATGATAATGAAAATTGAGTCTGTGGCAATGTAAAAATCTATTTTAAATTAATTTTATTTGATGGAATAAACAAATGTTGATGTGAAAAGGCTTTGCTTTTTTTTTTTAAATCCTCACCAAGGATATGTTCTTATTGATTTTTAGAGAGAGAGGAAGATGGGGGGAAAAGAGAGAGAGAAACATTGAGGTTGCCTCCTATATGCTCCCTGATCCCACAACCCAGGTATGTGCCCTGACAGGGAACCAAACCTGCAAACTTTTGGTGTATGGGATAATGTTCCACCAGCTGAGCCACCCAGCCAGAGCAAAAATGGGTTTTTAACTACAAAATGCCATAAGCCTGTATTGACAGTGGCTATTTCTGGAGGTTTTGGATGAATTAAAGTTCTTCCCTTTTGCTTGTCTTTATAAATATTTTATTTTTAATAAAGAAGCACACACACATGAATATACATGCATGCATACATGTGTGCCTACATACACAGTTGCATATATTTAGGTGGATATTTTCCTTAGGCAGAGCTGTTACTTCAAATGAACATCCATTTAACCCTCCAAAATTCCATCCGAGAAGTGTTGTTTACAGACAGGAGAAATAAAGAGAGAATGGGAAAGGGTTGAACAGAGAAATGCTGGAGACCCTCCCGTGTCTGTAGCTGTTGTCTGAGCTGGGTCTCTGAGCTCCCATTTCCCTCTGGATCATCCCTGGCTTGATTACGGGAATACCCCTTCCCTATAACTTTGCAACTTTGATATTCAGGACAGGACATATTAATTACTTGGCATGTTAATGACATTCTGGGAGTTTTTGCTTTACAAAGACCTTCACTTGTGTGCATCATGAACTTTCCTTAGCAAAATTTTGTGCTCTCTTGGTGTCATGGACATTGTTTGCATATACAGTAGTCATCTCCTTGGAGGGCCACGTTTCACAAGCTCTTCTCCAGCTGAAAGGGTGGGGGAGTGCATGTTTTTAAACAAAGTTGGTTGTGATCATCCCATTCCCCTTGTCAGCCATGGGTGTGAGTGTGTACATTGGACAAAGTTCTGGCTAATTAGAAGCCAGTGGAAGTTCATTGGAGGGCTTTTGGGAAATGTTTCCTTAATGTTAAAAAAGAGACCTCACAGTGCCTTGTCATTTTTTCTCAAGTTGAATGTTGTATAAAGATGAAAACCGTAGAACTGCTGCAGCCACCTGGCTGCCGGAGTGAATGAAGGACAAAGTCAGCCTGCTGAGGAAGGTGTGAGAGGAAGATGGGAAAAGCTTGGGGGCCCCTGTCGATATCGCTCTGTTCCTGACACCTTCTGCCTGTGAATCTCTCATAAGGCAAGGAGCTTGCTCAATGTTTTATCCACTTAAAAATTTTTTTGTTGTTGTTGTATATATGTTACTTAGAGCTAAAATCATCCTAAATGATTCAGTCTATGATTAAATTTCACAGTAAGTTATTTCCCATTTCTGTAAAAGATAACTGAAAAACTAACTGCCATTTGGACAAATACAGTGTTCATATAACTCCCGCCCCATAAAATGCCTTCTTTTAAAAACAAGGAACACACCCTCCTCACACACAAATACACACACATTCTGCCATGTTTTAAATCAACTGTTTAGTGCTTTACATTTGAAAGAAGAGTTTGGAATCAATTTAAATATCTACCAACATGGGAATAGTTGAACATGATGTATAACAGACAACAGAATACAAGAAGCAGTTAAAAAGAATAAGATAGATCTATATGGATTTATCTGGAAAGATCAACATGTATTTTAAATAAATGGATTGAAAAAGTTTCAGAAAATTGAGCAAATTGATGGTGGTGGTTACCTTTGGGAAAAGGAGCTAGATTGGGGGAAGTAAAGGGGATGTTTAAAATTTTTGCTGTATATTTAAGTAATATTTAAATTTTTACTAAAAATTTATTTATGTATTGCTTATATAATTAAAAATCCAAAAATCCAAAGATCCACAAGTCATGTTAAAATATTTACAACTGCTTTTAATTCTGATTATTACTTCTCATCTAATCCTTTAAACAAAAAATATGTCTATAACTTGCTTTCTTTTATTACTATTCTGAACAATATAGCACTTACCTTCTCCTCCCCTAACCTTCTGCTGACACACATCCATTAGTTCCACATTTTTCAGGATATTTTTATTGTGTGTAGTCTAAAAAGAGTGCGTGTTCACTGAAGTCAGATTCCTATTGTGGTCTTTAATCTGAGAGATTAAATCCTTGGTTCAGCCAGGAGTACATGATGCTTTTCTGTGAGTGATATAAAATGGAAAGAATATTCTGGGATCAGGCTGCTCACCAAGGGGGCTCAAAGACCAGAGTTCCCTGTAGTAGGCTGTGGAATCTCCCTGGCTCATGCTATACAACATCCAGACCTCTTCGGGTTTCTGCCTACTCTGCACTGAAGCCCCTAACGTCCTTTCCATTTTTTTTGCTTAGATAGCTGAATTTACTTGGGTGCAGCTAAGAACTGACTGATGCAACTAATATTAACTACAACAGACATGTCTCTTTTTATATGTGAGATGATCAATAATCTCTAGGAACATCTTATGGGAAAAGACTATTCTTGGAACATAAATGTCCATAACAAAGTTTTAATTTGTGATTCACACGGCAGCAAGGCAGCTCTGGGACTTCCTCTATTTAATCATAGTGATGATGATGCATTGTTCTTTTCTGTCCCTTGGGCTGCTTTCATTTTTGATTACATGCAGAAGGAACAGAAATTCCCTAATGAATCAAGATGTCTTTCACCTGCAGTTTGACTTTTTAAAAAAATTCTATTTGTAACTTTCTTGTGGTTGTAAATTGTGGGACTACAGAATGATTGTCATTGCATTTAGTTCCTGAAAAGTACTCAGTAAGTATCTAGGAACAGAATCTATAGCTAAGTAGATGCTGGAAGCAACCAAGATGCCCATCAATAAATGAATGGATCAAAAAACTATGGTACATTTACACAATGGAATTCTATGCAGCAGAAAGAAAGAAGGAGCTCCTACCCTTTGCAACAGCGTGGATGGAGCTGGAAAACATTATGCTTAGCGAAACAAGCCAGTCAGTGAAAGACAAATACCATATGATCTCACCTTTAACAGGAACCGAAACAACAAAACAAAGAAACAAGCAAAATATAACCAAAGACACTGAAATAGAGGACAGGCTGACGGTGACCGGAGGGGAGAGAAGAGGGAATTTAAGGGGACAGTGGGAAGGGTTCACAGGAACAGACTTAAAGGACACATGGTCATAAACTAAGGGGAGGGTGGTAATGGGAGGGAAGTGGGGAGGGTGGGAGGGGGGACTGGATTGGGAGTAAAAAGGAGAAAACTGTATTTGAACAATGATTAAAATAAAAAAAGAAAAAAAGACATTAAAAAAATAAAAAGAATCTATAGCTAAGAAACCAAAACTTGCCTCAAATCATACAGCTATTTAAAGGCAGAAATGTGCTTAGAATTCAAGTCTTCTGAATCCCAGTCCAAAGATCTTTTTCTAGGTGCCACTTTCCAAAGATTTCGTGATAAAACAAAGAAAGAAAGATGGAGTTAAAAAACCACTTTGCTTTGAAAAGAATAGTAAACATATTTATAGCAAATGCTTTTCAGACTATATCTAAATAATAACCCACCCAGAATTTGCTTCACTTACCACTTATGTTGTTTGCTTAACAAGTTTTAGGAAACTTTGCTTTCGATAAGAAATGGGGAAAATAAAACATATTTTAGATGTTTCTTTTTTCCCTCTTTTCCTTACCTTTATATGTCAAATATATTCTTTTCCCTGGGGTAATCAAAGTATAAATAAGCAGAAACCCTATCTTTGATATTTCACCTTCCTTTCAAAAAGTGTGACTGTTTTCTGAGGTCCAACTAACCTTACACAGTTTTTACTGCTCTGTGTAAAGTCTCCATATTTCCAGGCTTTGCTATTTCATATGATCTTTCTTTTATGTGACTTTCATGAACCCTGAATGAGTCTGTCCTCTCAGAGAGGGTTCAACAAATGAGTTTTACAATACTGGTTTTACTTTCATTCAACAAATGGGCACTGAGCATCGATAATGTGCTCTGCATTAAGATGGAGAATTAGTGACAAAGGGTAAGAAAGAACAATGCCTGCCCTTAGGGAACTCACTCTGCTGAGAACAATCTGCATTTTAAAGTGACAGGTGATAAGAAATGATACACAACAAAAGTATGACATCATAATTCTTTCAAAATCCATTCTTATATCACTAAGAGCCCATATTAAGGAACTCTGTTAGGAAGTTCTTACTTGGTTTAGCTTTGGGCAGTCTACCAACGGTTCTACAGCAATCTGTGAATTTCACTGGTAGTTAAGATAAAACATATTTCTTCCTATGAATAATAATTAAATTATCCCTAATATTACAAATGGCCATTTAATTTCTATTTTTTTCCTGAGATAAAAGAAGTACATGTTTTCAGCAAATGTAGATAAGAAAATGTTTTGAGTGGATTGGTGTGAGTCAAATGGCGGCAACTAGGGCTGGTAGGCTAGAGGCTTAAAATCCTTTTTGACTTGGCAGTGATGGTGGCAGACTCCGTGTTTGTGATTGATGTGCAGATACCTTTATTCACTCAGCTCATCTTTGAATATACTTTTGTGTCAGATGCTATTCTAGATACCTGAGATATGTCAAGATGAAGATACCTGTAATTGTGGAACTATATTTTTGTATTTATTACTTAAGACCCTTAAAATTATTCTCTATACATTCAAGATAAAAATATCACATTAGTACAACATGCAAGGCCCTGCTGATCTCTTCAGTTCTTAGTGCTCTTGCTCTCTTATTCTGAGCTTCGTCCATACAGAGATACTTCCACATTCTGAAAGCAAACAAACAAACAGATTCTGCCCAAACTTCATATTTCTGTGCATACTCTCCGCTCTGCCACAATGATCTCAAATTTCTAACCCCTACTCAACCTTCAGGTCTCAGCTAGCACAAATGTCATTTCCTCCAGAAGCTTCTCCTCACTTCCAGAACAGGTCTAGGTGTCTCTTTAATGTTCCCTTAATACCCTGAGATTATTATCACCACACTCTATGAAAATCACCTCTTTATCTCTTTGTCTTTCCCTCTAGACCAGAGAGTCCTTGAAATCAGGGGTTGTTTTATACACTAGTCTTATACACTATCACATCCTAAGTGTGCCTGACACCTCAATATTTGTTTAAAATTGATGACACATGAGGAGCCAGTGAGAGAGGTTAACAGTCAATTATACCAGCCAGAGGATTTTCTTAAATAATTCAGTCAGTTAACTCTCTACTGCCTGAATTAAGTATCAAATCTCTATCACAAGTTTCTAATCAATGCATCAAATACATTGTGAATCACAATTATATGCCTAGCTAGAGTTAGATGCTGTTGTGTCTTCAGGGAAACCAGCCCTGAGTTGGAGAGAGAAAATTAATATAATTAGGGAGCAAGCTTGAAGGCAAAACAATTAGAAAAAAAAGCAATATAGGGTATGCCTGGAAGTACCTAATTATGTGTGGCAGATTAAGCTCATTGTTGGCTCTCAGAGGAAACAGAGACCACAGAAATGGGCACTCTCTAGAAGCTCTTCAGGTGCATCATTTCATCTCAACCTCACAGATACCCTCTTCGTGGTAGTTATTGTTACTGCAATTATACAGAAGATGAAACAAGCACGGAGAGGTTAAGGGTCTTGTTCGAGATCACACAACTTATAAATAGTGGCACCGTGATTCAAGCCCTGACTCATCCAACTCCAACTTCATGTTTCCTTTTGAATGTTTATTCAGGGATGAGGTCATCCAGCTTTTGGATTGTAGCACTAGTCTAAGTACTCATTTTAAAGGGAATATACTTCTGCACATGTTAGAGTAACTGGTGCCAGATTTCACAAAAACAAAACAAAGCAAGAAAACCAGAAGAAATATATAAAAGAACTGCTTGTAAAACATTGGACATCAGGAAATGGGGGACTGTGATCCCTGAGAGAAAGGAAACAAATGAAGTGAATCTTACATTTTCCTTAGCTTTCTGCCTGGAGGCATTTCTGGACTACACTAGAGGGAGGGGACCCAACCAAAAGAGTGGTTTCACTGGGTGGAGGAGAAAATGATTGAGAAGTTGAGGGAAGCTGAGCTGGCTGGTATTTGTACAGAAAAGAGCAGAGAAACACTGAAGAAATTTGTATAGGAATCATTTCAGTCCTGTTACTGAATACTCACCACAAAGGATGCCAGGAAAAGGACAAATGGGATGTTTTCAGCTGAAGCAATGCTCATAGTTTATGCCAGGCTGGACGACATTTGGCCTCCAACCAGCCAGAGAGAGTCCACAGTGAACGCTTGGGACATTCATTAGAAACCCAAGAAGGCTCTTGTCTCAGTGGTAAGTCTAAACTAGACCCAGCCTAGTGGTATTTAAAGAACAAAACAAAACAAAAACCCCCATAATAAGCTGATTCACAAATAACAAAGCTACCTGTCAGAAACATGTTCAACAATTTTTAAGAAGGTAAATAAAACCTGGCACTCAACAACATAGAATTCAAAATGCCAGCATATACTTAAAAACGTAATAAATGTAAGAAAACAAAAAATGTGACCTGTTAACCAGGAGAAAAAAGCCAGCTATGTCAAGCAGACACAGGTATAATACAGAAGTAAAATTAAAATGCTAAGACTAAAAAATAGATGGATTTTAAAGGAAAATGAACATAATGAGAAAGAAATGGAAAAAGACCCAAATGAATATCGTATATCTGGAAAATACAGTGTCATAAATGACAAATTCACTGATGGTATTAAAAGATGGGAACACTGCAGGGGAAAAAAGTAAGATCATTGATCTCGATGACATAGCAATATACATATTATCCAAAGTATATATATTATATATTACCCAATATTATATATTGTTTAAATATATATTATATGTTACCCAGAGAACAAAATGGATGAAAAAAGTGAATTGAGCCTTAGTGACTTTGGGGATAATATAAAGCACTCTAAAATATGAGTTGACAGAATCCCGGGAGAGGAGAGAGAGGAGCATTAAAATGTTTAAATAAACAAAGGCTTAAAATTTTCAAATTTGATGAAAATTATAAGTTGACAGACTCAATAAGCTCAACGAACTGCCAGGAGAATAACCCAAAAGGAATTGTACTAAACTATACCAAAATGAAACTGATGAAAATCAGTGATGAAGGTAAAATCCTTAAAGGATATGGAAGAAAAAACCCACATTACATATAGAAAAATGATAAATTTCTCTAGACCTCATGTAAGAAATAATGTAAGCCATAGGATACTAAAAAAAATCTTCAAAGTTTTGAAAGTAAATACTATTCAATCTGGAATTCGATATTCAGCAAAAAGATCCTTGAAAAATAAGGGTGAAATAAAGACGTCTTCATGACCAGGGAGACCTGTGTCAGGAGGCTCTCTGCATCTCCTGGGGTCTTGTCTTGCTCACCAGAGAACTCAGTTGAGACCATATGTATGGTGGGAATGAGATAGCAAGTTTACTTATGAAACACACACGAGCACAAAGGTGCAAGCAGGCACCTGGACAGTCTGAGTGCCTCACATACAGAGGAAATAAAGTTGTTAGTAAGTTTCTTAGTAAACTTGTTCTATACACTGAGCACCTGGCTACAAGTGGGTACCCAGCTAATCTGAGTAACCCAACTATCGGGGTTCAGGGGTTATATATTTTAGTCAGCTTCTAGGTACCCCTCCTTCTTCCCCTTCTAGACCTTGGGATTAATGTATAGCTACAAGGCTTTCTTTCTCAGCTAGTAAAGGTTTTTTTTGTTCATTTGTTTCAGAAATTGCTGCGGAAGCTCCCTTTCCCAGTACACAGAGTTTACGGACTCCCTTCTTCCTGCTCTGTCTTTGCTTGTGATGTTCGGGATGCCCAGCAATCTTATTGGACCAGGCTCAGGACTGCTGAATCGATGGGTGAGACGTGTCTCTGTCTGCCTCTCTGCCTTAGTTTACTACCTATCCTACCTAACATTCATACAGACAAGTTATAAGGCTCCAACAGACCTGTCTGAAAACAAAGGTAAAAAGATTTCTTAAGCTGTGCATGCAGAAAAGTGATTATAATGATTGATCACGGAATATATGTCAAGTAAGGGAAGGAATGAAGATATTGAAGGGATGGGGTAAAGGTGTATTGTCAGTAGAGTGGCTGTCTAGATGGTATCATGGGTATGTTGAATCCAAGCTTTTAGAGAGAATCAGGTAAAAAAAATAGGGTTATCAAAAATAGAATGCATGAAATTAAGAATATTGAATGATTTATAGTCATTGGTAATGATGAGGTTGATAGTGAGGACCATAGGAATGAAATTTTCATTAAAAATGGATGCTTGCCGAAATAACACATGACAGAGATATATCCACAGACATGCAGTTTTATCTGCCATGACAGAAAAGAGGAGCCTACACCTTTCATTACCTGCATGAATCTGATTATTCCTTTGTTTTTCTTTTGTGCTTAGCTTTTTATTATTCATGCCATTATATTTAGCAGTAGTTCATTTTTTTCATTGACTGTATTAGTGTGACATTGTTAATAAAATTATATGGGTTTCAGGTGCTGACTACTCTTACAGTACTTCTTTCTGGCCACAGTCCCCTACCTAACTTCTACTACTGGTGAAGGCTCAGGGCATTGGGGGGCCACCTTCCAGTTCTGACTTTATCATAACTATTTTCTAGTGAGTGATGGTCTTGACAAACAACATAAAAGCAGAATTCTATATAATTTCACCAAATTAAACATATTATAAAAATTTAAAAACTGTCAGAGAGAGGCAAAGACAGTGATGGGAGCAGCCTGTAAAAGTGCTTTGGGGGAAATGGCAATTCCAATTAGACCTACAGGTCGTCACCCCCGCAAGACCCTGGCTGACCATTCGAACACTGTGTCACCAGGGACATGTGTGCCATTTCGACTAAGTGGCCCTGAGTAACTCCTCTTCGATTGCAGGTCACTGTGACTTTTTTGTCTGAGAAATTGATGGGTTGTTAACACTGGCTGAAACAGACAAATGCTGCCATCATGTACAGCTCTCTTCAGTATTTATAAAACTTCCCACTTTCAGAGTAATTTTCCATGGACTTCCCCAGGACTCATGTATATTTTTTCTCTAAGTTGAATAACAGCATAATGCAAGAAGAAAAAAGAAGTCTGTGCTAGGATGAGGAGAGAGAAAAATGAATCTCTTTGAGGACTTAAGAATAGATTTCAAATTAATTCAGCTAATCCATTTTCAAAAAATTATAATTCTAATCCTTCTGGAAAAGATTTTTTATCCACCAAGGGACACACCATGTGTAAACAATGAAATGACAGGTGGGCCTCTTTCAGTAGCCCACAGGTAGTTCTCTTAAATGTGACCACTCTAAATTTAACCTTTTGGAGGTTGCTGAAGATTAACTTCCTTGATGAATTCTTCTATGACTGGTTCAGTTTTCAGTGGTCTCTCTTTCCTCTGAGCACCAACAAGAAGCATAACCTGCCACGCTTAGTTAGGTATGTCTAGACTTATCCTGTTTTGTTTTTTTCTTAATTATCTTCTTTTCAAGCTTGCTCTCTAGTTATATTTTTTTTCTCTCCAAATTGAGGCTGGTCTTCTTAAAGACACAATAGCATCTACCTCTAGCTGGGCATGTGACTTGTGACTCATAATGTATTTGATGCATTGACCAGAAACTTGTGACAGAGATTTAACACTTGATTGAGTTAGTAGAGAGTTAACCAGCTGAATTCTTTAAGAAAATCCCCTGACTGGTGTAAGTGGCTGATAGTCTCTCGCACTGGTTCCTCAGGTGTTGTCAATTTTAAACAAATATTGAGGTGTCAGGCACCATGTGAGGCACTTGGGATATGATAGTGAACAAAACACAACCCTCGATCCGAAGGACTCTCTGGTCTAGAGGGAAAGACAAACAGATAAAGAGGCATAGAGTAGTGATGTTAAGCACAGGTGTTAAGGGAACACTGAACAGACACCTAGACCTGTTCTGGAAGTGAGGAGAAGCTTCTGGAGGAAATGGCATTTGTGCTAGCTGAGACCTGAAGGTTGAGTAGGGGTTAGAAATTTGAGATCATTGTGGCAGAGCGGAGAGTATGCACAGAAATATGAAGTTTGGGCAGAATTTGTTGTTTGCTTGCTTGCAGTATATGGAATTAGCTCTGCATGACTGAAACTTAGAGTGAGAGATAAGTGTGTTAAGAGCTGGAGAAATTGGCAGGGCCTTGTATGTTGTAGTAATGTTGTTGGATTTATCTTGAATGAAGACTAATGTGAACACTCTTAAGCAAGAAAGATAGCTCCATGACACTATTAGTGAAAGAACATTCTAAATTGAATATAATGGAGGAGGACAGGAATAGGTTTAGGGAGAAAATTAGAAGGTAGAAAATGATTGTATTTCATTAATTTTAAGACATACTTTTTTCACATTTTATTATCTCTGAAGTCTGATTCATTTTACCATTAGTGGCATGTCATAGATTAATTGGAGTTTTTATTTTCTTTTTCAGTGATCCAACAAATAATAATTATATTTACATACCATGCTGGTTTAGATTCAAGTAAACAAAGTGAGGAATGATTGTAATCTTAACTAAAATAGTACTAGAGTAGTTGAAGAAGTGGATGTAAAATCAAGATTTATTTTGGAGGTCGAATCGTCAGGGTCTAATGACTATGTTTGAGAAATGAGGTTGGGGAAGAAGCTGATGATCTATTTTTACTTTCATTATTTTTTTTTCACTTGGCAAGTTTCTTTCATGCATTGAGATAAAGAACTTGATAGAGTTTGTGGGGGTGAGGATGGTAAGGTATGGGGTAGGGAATATAAAATACAGTTTTGCACACAATCATTGTGAGAGTTCTGGGGACCATCACAGTTAGAATGCTCCATCAGGGACTGATGAAAGGAACCAGAATAAGAAAAGCTCTTCTGAGATGTTTCTTAGTCAGCAAACCCATTAAATGATCATACTTGCCCTGGGCTACCAGGGAAGTTGTCTACTTTCAAAGGCTACACTCTTCCACTAGGTCTTCTCCAGAATTAAGCTAGGTCAGAATTAAGCATCTCTAAAGCATTATCTTTGATATTGAGTCCTCTATCTCTGCATGTGTGGTTGATTTCCCTTAAGAAAAGTCTACTTTTCTCTTTCCTGGATTCACACATCTTCTAGCTCTGTTTATTTTCAGAATAAGTTCATCATCTTACAGAAAAGTCAAATGTACACTCATCCTTTTTTAAAGACCCCAAATTTATTAACAGTTTTGCCTTAATAACTTCAAAGACCAGGATGGAAAAATGCAACACTTTGCAGGAATAGTGGAAAGATAAGGGACAGAGTAGACTATTCTGATCATGATCCTACCTACCTGCTTTCTCCCGATAAATCCCTCTCAGACCACCAGAATGAGCCACCTCCTGATTAGGTGTCTGCTAAGAACTCTGCCAGACACTGGTCCTCCTTTTTGTTTGGTGGGGCTCATAGCTTCTGCAAGTGTTTCTCTGGTGCATAGGTGTGCCATGGGTTATGCTGGGGAGTTTGGGCTGATCTCCTTGTTTTGAAATGTTTTTTGGGTCCTGAATAGGGCTTTGGGATGAGGAGTGAAAAATCTGATATTGCTCTAAGGGGTTGCCCCTACTTCTCTCAGATAGTGTATATTTTATCAGAAGCTTTCTTATACATCATCTTATTTGACTGTCATAACTACTCAGCTAGATTGGTTGAGTATTTTTATATATATTATATCTCCATGGAGGACCTTGAGTTTTAGAAGAGGAAAAATTCAATCAAGGCATGTGATCTGGCAATATTAGAACCAGGTCCCCTGAACTCCATCTTAATGGTTTTCTCTCTAGACTAGGGAAGTTCATGAGAAGAATGGAAAAGGTTTCGTAAGATGTTCTAAATTATGCTGGTGTGAAATGGAAGTCCCTGAAACAGGCCTGAGAACCAGAGGTCTTCCAGATGCTCAGGGTCATTTAATCAAACCTGACATTCCTTAAATTAGTGATGATACTGAGGGTGTTGTTAACACTATTTAATTCAGAAAAATAGAGCAAGGTGATCTCTGAGAGGAATCTGAGGAAACTTCTGGAAGGCAGAAACCACACAGGAAAGATTTTTGTTTGCTTCCAAAAGCTGGAAAATACCCTGTGTTTGGGTCTCTTGACTTTGACAATGAACCTGGAATGTGGTTTCCCTGCTCATCCCTGGGCTCAGAAAATATCCAGCTGAAAGAGGTGAAGTATTGGTCATTGGCCTGGATATTGTGCATACACTGGGGGGCTTTCTGGTTTGTTCCCAAGAACTGTTGCTCCAAGGCCTCAAGAGTTCAGACCTGGAGTTTCATTGCTGTGTGTGTGTTGAGCCCCTTAACAGGCAATTTTGTAGAGTGAGATCACAGAGTTCAACAATGGAAGATGTTACAAAGAGAAACACTTTCTTGCATGTAGAAACATGCCCTTCAGCAAACATGTTAACTTTATTTTAACCTGGACTCTTTCCTTCTTGAATGCAATAAAGCCTCTGAAATGACTGCACTTGGCAAGAGGGTCTCTTTTGTCATTCATAGGAGCAGAGAATTCACAGAGTAAGTAAATTACTTAGGTTTTCAATAAAAATGTTAATATCTACCTTAGAGGTGAACAAAGATCACTGCATTTCAATATGAGATGATCAAATTTGCAGGGACTGAGGGAGACAGGCCAGTAGTGAATATCTACTTGGAGCCTCTGTCACTCAGCTCCACTCATGGAGGGAAGGCGAAAGGGAAGGTAGAGAGGAGGTGGGAGGGGAGAAGGAGGGAGGAGGTGAGGTATTGGGAGTGTACATGAACACAGAGAAGAAAGACTTGGAGATATGCAGGTGTTCAGAGGAACTCAAACTATGCAAAGTGAGTGAGGAGGACAGCAAATCAAACTGATTTCATGTACCATGCAATGCTGTGCTAGTAGTTTTCTCTCCAGCCTGACTTTTTTCTCTGACTCAGATATGTGACCCTCTGAAAATTCTTTTGGGCTCTTCTATCATCAGTCATGAAAAAAAATTTAGAAAATAACTCTGTTTTTTTTAATTGCATAAAATGCAGGTACCATTTAAAGAAGAGCAAAATAATTCTAATACAGAGAGAAATGTTCACACCTATTTGCGTTAAGTATTTTGTATTTCAAAACTCAAACTTTATCCCACCAAAACCCACAAGGTTCACACATACCATGTTAATGATACAGAAGAGAGACTTGTTCATGCAAGATTCTCATTGGATCACTTTTTTCTACATAGTGTTGTTAACAATGGCTAACATTTAATGAGAACTTAGTATGTACAAGGCACCATGTTAAAAATAGTTGTATGTACTATCTCTTTAACTTTAAAAATTTCATAGGTTTTACAATTAACCTTATTTTACAGGTTTGAAAAGTGAGGCTGCCTAAGGTCAAAGGGCTAATGCAGGAGAGTTGAGTGACAGCTCAGCTAGTGTGAGGAGGAATCTATGGAGAAAATTCACTGTAAATGGCATTTTTAGACACCATGCTTCCATTTACTTACCTAAGGCCCAGAAATAGACAATCCTAGCACTTAGATTATATTTAAGGCCCTTTTCAAAGATAATTTAGGTACAGCTAACATCTTAGCTTCATCTGGGAGTTTCATGCCCATGTCAACTCTATTTGTAAGTAGTGAAATCATTGCTCTGTGTGATAGATCTGAATAATTGAATAATGATTGACATTCATAAGGACCTCAGATGTTCTGGGGCCTTTAAATGTCTTGCTCCTCAAAACCTTTGTTCAATCTTGTAAAGACAAGAGGAAAGGCCATGTATGGAAGTGTCCTTCTTCACTGAAGTCTGCCTGTACTTTATTTCCTTCATATCTCTACTACAGACAGTTGGCCTATATCAGCTTCTATAGTTTTCAAGGCCAAACTATGTCGATATTTAGATTACTTATAAATAAATACAAATTATTAACAATCCTATAATAATTTCATACAGAAGGTGAATTTAATTATTAGCTTTTTAAGCCATCTTCTCAGCCAAAACTGAAACTTAGGCTGGGAAGATGACTTCTCAGGTCCTCCAGGGCTCAGTTGAACTCCATAATTCTAATCTGTCTCAGATCAGTTCAGCAGCTGGAGATTAACCTCTCTAGAGTTTACTGCAAAGGAAATGAGGAAGGGATCAGGAGACCCCGCAGCCTGTGAGCACATGTGCCCTTGAATATTATCTCTTCGACCTATTGATGAACATGTGCTGCCATCTTCTTAAATGTCAAGATTTGAAGAAATAACATTTAAAAAAACAACAACAGAAATTTCCCACGGGATTTATATCCAAATGTCAGGGTTAAGTTGCAGTAGAACATAGGTAATTTCTGGAGGCATGGCTTTTTTTTTTTTTTGATGTGTGTTTGTTTAAACATGTTTCTGCAGGCATAGGTTAGAAGGCAAAAATCCAAACATTTTATAAACTGCCCATGGAACATGGGCATCCAAGTATTTTTCATCAACAAAATATTTATATACTGTTTCCTGACTACCAAGTAGTGTGTCAACCAATATTATTAAACTATACTGCAGGTTCTGCCAGATGTGGGCATTGTCCTCACCTGTAAGTTCATCACAATAAATGATTTTATCACTTACAGCTTATTTAATGGACAATATATTGAAACTTTCCTCACTGACCTCTCAGGTGGAATGCTGTGGCAGACCACCCCCCACCCCAAGGTGGCCCCAGTGAGTCCTGCCTGTGGATAATTTCCCCTGCTGAAGGCAGGATGGAGCTGTGGTTACTTCTGGCAAACAGAATATGGCAAATGGAGTCTGCTTCCTTGGTTAGGCTACATTATATGACAAAGATTTTGGGATGTCACTCCTGTGATTACGTGATGATGTTATATAAGATTCCTTCCTAGGAGACCAGAGAGAGGCCTTCTCCACCTGGCCTGGAAGAAGGAAGTTAAATATTGTGAGATGGCCTGTGGAGGCAGACAGGGGACAAGGACCAAAGATGTCCTTTAGAAACCTGAGAATAGTTGATAGCCAATTGCAAAAAAGACCTCAATCATACAACCACCAGGAAAGGCATTTCCCCAACAACCTGAATGAACTTGGGAAAGAATCCCAAGCTCCAGATGAAAACTGGGTCAATTTGACACCTTGATTTCAGCCTTGTGATATCCAGAAAAGAGGATCCAGCTAAGCTGTGCCCAGAATCCTGGCCTATGGAAACTGAGATAATAAAGGTGTATTAAGTTGTGGTCATTTGTTGCACAGCAACAGAAAATAAATATAGCTTCTATGGCTGCCTGTGCTATTCATTTTCATTGTCCTGTTGAGAAGACCTGAGAGATGGCACAACTGTAGAATATTAATATAATTTAAAATGGTTTCAGCTTATAATGAAATTTTAAACTCACTCAGAGGTTACTCGTAAATAACTAGCCCATTAATTGTATGTAAAAATGAAAGGCTAAAAAAGGGCAAGTCATTTCTGCACTTAAATGAGATCAAATACAGGAACCAATTTTAGAATGTTTGAGTGGGCTAAGGATTTGTATAGAGAATCACTGCTTCCAATTTTCACGCTTGGGACTTTTTTAGAAATCTGAGCTGCTAAGCATTATAATCACAAAACACAAAGGTGTTTTCATGACACCAGTTGCTCTGTTTCCTGGACTCATGATGGGTAATATAATCAGAAGGGGGTGTTCTATAGAAGAGATAGAAGAGGATAGCTGTGGACTATGACATGATTCCTGAGCAAGGCTGGGAGCTCTAATTTAATGTGAGGACACCTTTAATTAGCTGCTTGTTTCAGTGTCTTTAATAACAGAAACAACAAATACTACCTAGATTTGTAAACTATAAAATTAATGTAATCTCCAGGTAAAATGCCAAGCCATACATAAATATCCACTGAAACATCTGCTTCTGACCTCCGATCTTGAGCCCTTGCCCCACCAGCAACAACAGTCATCAGTTTTCTGTGCATCCTGTAAGGAATGTGCCATGCACTTAGATGCTCACATCATTTTGGAGCTTTATGTGAACATATATCATTTTGGACACATGTAGGAGGACAGGACCCACCCTCTCTGTTCTCTTATTTTTTCAGTGTAAAAATATATCTGGGAGATTTTTTCATATCAACAATGAACTTCCATTTGTTTAAAATGATTTTAAAATATTACAATTTAAAATCATTTTAAAACAATACAATTTGAAAATATCACAGTGTTACAAATATAATTCATAAAATATTACACTGGAAAAATATCACACTATTAAAATATTACACTTTAAAAAGTATACATATATACTTTTACATACATATGACTCATATTGTGTCATAAGCACTTTGCATGCATTAACTCATTTAATCTCAACACCTCTATGAAATGGATACTTCTAGCACTGCTTTGCAGCTGAGGACACTGAGGCCCAGAGAGCTTAGGGAGTTTGCTCAGGGTCACAGAACGAGTACGTGGTAGAACCACCCATAAATCAGAGTTCCAGGGCTCGTGCCCACTTAACCCCCCCAAAATGCTTCAAAGCATTTTTGTATGTTCACATTTACACTCATGTGCAAGTCTATCTGTATAAAAAATTCCTCAAGATCAAATTTTTGAGTTGGAGGATATGCATATTTTTAGTTTTTATAGATGCTTTCAAATCACCTTCCAAGGAAATTATGACAATGTGTACACCCACTGTCAGTGTGCGATAATGCCTTTTTCCTCAGAACCCTGCCAAGACTGTATACTATCAAACTATTGCCAATCTGGCAGCTAAAAAATGCTATCTTTATTTCGCTTTAATTTGCATTTATTTGTGAGAAAGATTGGGCATCCTTCCATCTGCTTATAAGCCCAGCCATATGTGTTTTTTTTTTTTTCTTCATGGAAATGCCTTTTAATCTGTGTTGTTCTAAAGGATTTTGGGTATTTTCCTTATTGACTTTTAGGAGAGTTTTATATTTTAAGGAAAATAGTCTTTTACCTCTGAATATATTGAAAGAAATTTCCCCCCAATTTGTTTCCTGGCTTTTGTCTTTATTTGTGCTAGTTGGTCTTAACTACAGTTTTAAATTTTCATGAGGATTAATTTACCAACATACTCTCATGGTTTCTGGGTTTTCCAGTCTTGATTTACAAAGTTGATCAACTTTAGTGGTGTGAATGCAGATTGGTGCAGCCACTGTGGAAAGCAACATGGACATGTCTCAAAAAATTAAAAATGAAACTGCCCTTAGACCCAGGAATCCCACTTCTGGGAATATATTTGAAGGAACCCAAAACACTAATTCAAAAGAACATAAACACCCCCATGTTCATTGCAGTGTTATTTATAATCACCAAGATACAGAATCAGCCCGAGTGTCTATCAGTAGATGAGTGGATAAAACAACTATGGGATATTTACACAATGGAATACTACTTGGCCATAAAAAAGAAAAAATTTCCCTTTGCAACTGTATAAGGATGGACCTGGAGAATATTATGCTAAGTGAAATTAGCCAGCCATAGAAAGACAAATGCCATATGATTTCACTTATATGTGGAATCTAATGAATAAACCGAACTAATAAGGAAAATGGGGACAGACTCACAGATGAAGAGTAGGATGACATGAACAATAGTGTGGTGATTACTGGGAATAAGGGGGTATAAAGCAGTAAAAGGTAGTGTCAAAATAGAATAAAGATTAATAAAATAGAAAAAATGTTCAACTTTGGGATTTTGAAAAATTAAGATATATTTTTATTAGGGTTTTGATTTTATTATTATTTTTCTTTTTAAATTAATTAATTAAAATTAATTTTTTTGCAGAGAAAGGAGAAAGGAGAGAAACACCAATAGGAGAGGGAAATGTCCATTGGCTGCCTCCCATTTATGCCATGACCGGGGATTGGAGCCACAACCTAGGCATGTGCCTTGACTGAGGATTGAACCCAGAAGATTTTGGTGTACAAGATGATGCTACAACCAACTGAGCCAACCAGACATAGCTGATTTTGTTATTTTCCTTTCAAGGTTTAACTCAGTTGGAAATTATTATGGCATAAAGGGTAGAGGAAAAATTTACCTTTACTCTTAAATAGCTAACTGGCTTACAGGAGTACCCCCCTTATCAGTGGAGGTTACCTTACAAGACCCTCAGTGGATGCCTGAGACAGCTATAGTACCAAACCCTATGATTTTTCCTATATATACATGCCTATGATAAAGTTTAATTTATAAATTAGGTACAGTAAAATAATAACAACAATAAAATAAAACAATTGTAACAATAAACTATAACAGAAATTATGTCAATGTGGTCTGTGTCTGAAAATGCCTTGCCCCGCGCACCCAGCATGGGCTCACTGGACAGCAGCGGGTCCACGTCCTGAGCCGGACAGAGCCGGCGGGGTGCTGTGAGATTGTATTACACTACTTGGAGCAGCCATGCAATTTCAAACTTATGATTTTTAAGATATTAATTTTGTAACAACTAACTGACAAATATTTTGTGGTTTCCTTCTTTCTTCCCTCCCTTTCTTTTTTCTTTTTTTACCTTCCTTTTCTCCTCCCTTTCTTCTCTAGGGTTGTTGAGATACAGAATCATATCATCTTTTCCCCTAAAACTCTTATTTGTGTTCTCTTAGATAATTAAATTGATTGGTACTTTCAGAACAATGTTGAATAAGACATTTAAAAATATTTTACCTTGTTCTTGATTTTAATGGGTAAGCTGTTGATGTTTAACCATTAAGAGTGTTTCTTGTAGGCTTCTAGTAGAAGCCTAGTAAATGTTGCTTATCAAATGTATATCCATTGCTAAGCATTATCTTTCAGATTTAGTCAAGAATTTTTGAATTTTACTAAATAGTATTCTTTGTTATTTACAGAAACAACGTGGAGGTTTTATTTTTTGTTTTACCTATTACAAAGAATTATAGTACTTGGTTTCCTATTATTGGTCTTCATCAATCATGCTTTTCTGAATAAAACCTACCCACTTGCTTATAATGTATTTGTATTTAAATATGCTACTAAAATGTATTTGCTATAGTTTATTTAGAATATTCATTAAAAATCAAATTGGTCTGTAGTGTTTATTGTGGGCTATCTTTTCAAATTTGGGTGTCAATATTATGCTGTTTCAAGAAAAAGTACTTGGAGACTTTCACTTGTGTTCTGGAACAATGTAAATAACACTGAAATAATCTGTTTTGTCTATAGATATATTTAACTTTTTTACTTTTAAAAACTTTGGGCTTTTTTTCATTAGAGGGTGAGTTCTTATTAGACTCAGCAGAATCTGATCAGATTTTTAAATGTAATTAGTCAATTTTGGCTTTCTGAAATCAATTTTAGTAATATTTTTTTCTCAAACATGAAATCCATCCCTATAGTGCAAATTTCTATAGAGTTTTAAAAAATATTTTTGCTAATATTACTATTTTTTCTGATTTTGCATATTCATGGTTTCTTTCTTCGTATTTATTAGATTAATCTATTTTCATGTTGTTTTCTCCAGTGCTCAAGAACTACGCTCTTGTCTTTGTTCCTTATTTTTTATATTACATTTAATTATAGAAGTAATTTTTACTTTTACTTTTCTTAAAATATTTTTCATTCTGTATTTATTTTTTCCACTTGTTTTTGCTTATTTTCAGCATTATTACATAACATGGTGTAAATTTCTACTGAGTATTGCTTAAGTTATATTACAAAAATTCTGATTTGTAGTGTCATATTTATTATAATTTTCTACAGTGATTGGGGATATTATCAATTCTTCCTTGCTTCCCCAAATTTTCATTTTTTTCCTTTTCCTGGGGATGTATTTATGCATTGAAACATCCCTAAGTTCCTATAATTTTATTTTTCACTCATAGATAGAAGCTAATGACTGTCCTATGAAAGATGAAGAAATCACAGTCTTTTTTTCCTGTCTTCTGGAGTTTATTTCCTAAGTTTTGTTTGTTAAATTATAGATTTTGATTTTGCACCACAATACTGATATGTTATATTCTGTATCTGCAATTTATTTAACATTATATCTATTTTCAAAATTATTCTGTACTTATCATTATTAATTTTAAAATGGCTTGTCCATTATTTCTTGTTTTGGGTGTCTGTTGCATTTAAAATCAAACTATTTTATTCATATCATTTTCTTATGTCCTGTTTCCTTTCTTTTAGTGTGTGCACCACTATCTTCTTCTTAACTACTGTTTATGATTTCACTATTTTATTTTTACTTTTCATAACATTTTATTACTATAAAACAATGTATACATGTTTGTAGAAAATTATAAAATAAAAATAATCAAAAACAAAACTGCAAGATCACATTCTAACCCCTGAAGACTACCACTACAACACCACTAAAAGGAGATAGTGCATATTCTTTAGATATTTTCCACACATATATAAATATATACACACATAATATTTTCCTTGTCATCTAAAATATAAAAGTTCTTGCTAATAATCCAAGTCCAGCTGTTTTTATCAGCCTTTAGCACCTTGCTTTTTGAACTGGATGGCAGTGCACTCTCAAACTTGAAGGCTAATAATCTTACTGAATTATTACAGTGTTGGTCACTCTACAGTTTTTCCACAATGATATGTGCACACTTTTAACTTGCAGATTCAGGATTCACTTTATTTCAGTGTTCTGATATTAGAGTAAAAAACAGCAGTTCATAGGCTCCGGTATCTCTGAAGATAATCTTCAAGTACCGTGGACCTTAGGAAGAGGACACACTGAGCCCTTCCAAGATCGTGGTGGTGGTGTCATTCTAAACTGTATATAAAGAGCATCTCCCAAACCACTTAATTCATAGAATTATGACTTTATTGATAGATGTGCAACTATTTTCATGATTAAGAAGCACAACCAAATCTATTTTCAGTTTATCTATTGAAAAAGTCATTTTCCAAATACCACATCATTTCACTTACATGTGGAATCTAAAAAGAAAAACAAACAAAATCAAAACAGACTCATAGACATAGAGAACAGACCTATGGTTACCAGAAGGTAGGGGGTTTTGGGGTCTGGATGATAAAGGTGAAGGGATTAAAAAACTCTAATTGATAGTTATGGAATAGTCATGGGGATGTAAAGTACGGCATGGAGAATATAGTCAATAATATTGTAATAACTATGTATGGTGCCAAGTGGATACTTGAAATACCAAGGGAAACACTTTGTAAAGTATATGATTACATAACCCAGCAAGTTTCAGACAGTGTGTTGCAAGAATTTTTTTTTTTTAATTTTGTTTAAAGATTTTATTTATTTATTTTTAGGGAGGGAAGGGAGGGAGATAGAGATAGAGATAGAGAGAGAAACATCAATGTGCAGTTGCTGGGGGTTATGGCCTGCAACCCAGGAATGTATCCTGACTGGGAATTGAACCTGGGACACTTTGGTTCCCAGCCCGCGCTCAATCCACTGAGCTATGCCAGCCAGGGCTTGTGTTGCAAGAATTTTTAAAGCATGCAATGCCTGACTATTTGGTCAGGGGCACTGATCTCTTTTCTCTTAGACTGTCAAATAAAAAGCTGACAACAGCCAACACAGCAATAGCCATCCAGGGTGAATGCCTTGTCTTGAATCATGAATACATAGGTCATATAATAGAGTTGCATCTTATTGGCCACATCTCACAATAAGGTTGCATCTGATTGGTTAATTCTTGGTACCAGAAATCCTTATATGCAGCTATAAGCATCTGATTTTTTAAAAAGTCGCTCTGGAGCAAAAAAGTAGGTAATTATTATTATTATTATTACTATTATTATAAATCAATAAAAGTTATACCCATTTTTTTGTCATATTAGCAAAAACATATTTTTGGTCATGCTGTAGAATTTTAGTAATTAGCTATGTGTGCCATGAAAAGCAAAAGGTTGCAAATTGTTGGCCTAACTGTTACACTACAAGATAATATTAAATGTGAAATATTTTTAAAAATTTTAAAAGCACCCCCAAATAAATAGAAAAAAATTATTTTGTTTTTGTCTTTAAACCTCACAATTTTTACTATCAAGTTTTAACTAATACAAACTCATGAAGGATTTTTACTATTTTATTTCATTTCAAACTGTTTCCCATCTTGCTTCTTGTCTTCCTAGTCCTCTTTCCTCCTGTTTGTCTCTCTACATGTATGCATGCACTCATGCTAACACAGACACATGTATACATTTTTAATTTTCCACTGGTCATGTCCCCAACATGGTAGCAGCCTGAAAATTAACACCATCATACGGTTCTGCACATGAAATCATATAGCTGTATTGAATATATACCTACCATACTCAGATACTCACTGCATACCTGTATAAAATGCAAGGTAAGTGGAGGTTTGGGTTTCTGTTGAAATTTCCCAGGAAAAGGAAGTGAAGGTCAAATATAATCCATTCTGTCTAGTGATATTCTAAAAACTGTTTTGCGTTTCCCTTTTCTCCCTTCTCATGGAGATTCCAAGACAGTCACAGAACACCATGAAGATATATAACATGAGGAAAACAACATGAAGATATATAACAGAGGTAACAGAGGGTGGAGGGTAAGAATTAAAACAAGGCAAATTGGTTTTATAACTTAATTGTCATTAGAAAACCAGGCTAATGAAATGCATTTCCCTCTAATGGCTTTCATTTTCAGGATGCTGTGTAGTTTTCCCTGAAATGGGATAAACTTTTGCTTTACAAATCATTTTGATCTCCTCTCGTTGTCACATTCTATCTAATTTTGCTGAGTGACTGGCTGTACGTTGACTACAGTGATGGAGAGTTCTCACCACCATTATTACCAGGGATTGGAAAATATGACTGAAATTATATCTTTCACTAAGAATTCTGTGACTTAATTTTCTTGCAGTTTAATTGGTATGGGAAACAGGAAATAATATGTTGCTCTATATTCCCATAGGCTTTCATGTACAATGCCTAATAGAATCTGCCCTGGCTAGGTACCCTTAAATATTGATTTGGTATTGAGTGAATGATAGGCAAATAATAGAAAGTGGTTTAAAGAAATAATCATGAGGTTTGGGCTTATTACAATAGACAATTTATGACTAGTATAATTTTAGTAATTTCTTCCTTAATTATTTGGCTCACATCAACAACATAGTCAGTATTGTGGAGACTTGCAAACCTCTGCTACTGAAAGAGAGCTATTCTGTGCCCTTGGATGAAGAGGACCTTTTTGGACAAAGGTACACTCACTCACACACATACATATGCTCATTCACACAAACACTGTTGGGAGCCATCCTGTCTGGTTTCAGGGACTGTAGCCTTTTGTCCCATAGCTAGAGCTGAGGGAAAATGCCTTGGGGACATGAGCCACTAAGGAGGCAAGACATTATCTCCTGGCAGGAGTGCAGCACCTGCCTCCCTCACTACCCCCTGCTTGGCCCAGGCAGATGACAGGTTAGTCAATGATGAGTAAGATCCCTCAAAGGAGGAGGGACAACCTAAGACAGGCACTGTTATGATGGGCCATCAGGGAGGGACTTAGGGGTCTTCAGAGAAGGGGCAGAAAGACCCTCACCCCTTGGCTTTGTCATAGCCTGAGTCCTCAGTCTTCCTGC